CGGTTCGAATCCCGCTGAGGGTGTTGATAAGACCAATGCGAGGTCGAAATAGGGTGAATACATCTCATTAAAATTAACTGGCATCACGAAGTCCTTATTCATCCAAGTACAGTTACTTGTCAAGTTCTACTGGCAATTTTGCGGCCTACTTAATGGAATATAAGTAATGTAGTCGATTGCAATGGCAAAATACAATTTTGAGATGTATTCACCCAATTTCGTGTAAGGTGATGAAGTAGTGGTAGTAGAATTTACCCACAATTATATGAGTAGAGCTGACGCTTCCATTTAATTTTCACACAAGTTGCTATCATCCTTAAACGAAATTGTGTGAATACATCTCATACTACTGATTTACTGGTAGTCTCGAATCTCTACTCAAACACTAAATGTACAATTTTGCCTTATCTACAAACTCACTAATGTGATCTGGCCTTCCCTCAAACGAATGAATGATGAAATCTTTTGGGAACAAAAGCCAATTCATATGATTGTGTGAAAATTCAACTATTCTGCCTTGACCACCTGACGCGATCTAGGCTGACTAGAACTCGTATTCAAGATGTATTACTAGTCTGAAAAAAGCCCACTTCTTCTGAACGTCAACCTTGAGTTGAGCAGAAGTACAGCTGAAGCCTTGTCTTGTGGGACGAATTCACAAATGCCCATACCCAAAGGTCTCTTGACCCACGAGAGGGGAGGGGCTTAGTGTGCTGCGTAATGAGCGCCCAGTCCGTTGTGTGTTGATGGGGAATCCGTGTGGAGTGGAGGTGAAACGGAGGCCGGACTTGTGCCAAATTCACGCCGGAGCGATAGCGAAAAACCCGGAAAGTGTGTGTCTGGACGCAGCAAAAATGCAGAAAGCCCCACTTTTGTCCAGTTTGGCTGCGCCATTTCACGACTACACGTGCCCACTCCGACGGACAGACAATGGGGCTGAGGTATGTAGAAAAACTGGGTTTCGACGAATGAAGCTGAGGCCTGTGAACATGTAGAGGCTGCCGGGCTTTTCAATCCGTGCTTGGAGTCGGGCATGACAATCAACGCAACAGTTTTCCCGAGTCTTCTGGGAGGTAAAGACGTCTCGTCTCGTCTCGTCTCGCTTGACGTCAGATGAGCTCTGGCCTCTTCTTTTTCTCCCATGGGAAAAATATATGTGAATTTTGCCCACGAGGCCTGTCCACACGCTTGTGTGTGTGTGTGTGTAAAGATTGTTTTCATGCGCTGAAACGTTCATACATGCATACATGCCTACAGACACGAACAGCTGCACACACGCAAAGACACTTAAGTCGTTTGGGCTGGCCGAAATGGTGGTTGTGGGCTGTAAAATGCATACCAATTGTACATCAGCCGGCGCCAGCACGCCCCCCGAGAGACATCACCTTCTCCACGTAAGGTTCTTGGGACCGCCGTGACTGTGTGTGCCCAAAAGTCATGTCGTGTCTGTGTGTGCTCCGACAAGTTGGTGCACACACTCACCGGGCTCTTATGGTCAATGGAATCTTCCAGTCGGTCTGTCGCCTGGCGGTGATTCTCAAAAAAAGTCTCTCCTCAGCTCAGCTCTTGTTGCCGCATTGTCTTGTCAGCATTTCTCAGTGAATCCGAGCTAAGCATGGACAAGTTAAGAGGAAAATGTAGCTTGCTCTCAAGTTTTAATTTCGGATGTTTTTTGTGTGGAAACATTTTGCACCAAAAGGCAACAGGGTGATTTGTGACATGATTTTCCATTTTGAAAGAACAGTTGGTTGGAAGGAATTCGTGGAATGGTGTCACAGTAACCCGAAGGAGGATGACCACGGAGGGAAGATTGTTGGATTGTACTAAAAGCATTTCACGAATGCCTGCCAAGAAACTTTACCTTTGAAATCGAATATCATGTCACAAAATGTCGCTAAGGAATTCTTTAAACCCAATCTTTTTTCATACAAATGTGTTATCATCAAACGCAATTGGCTATTGTTAACCATATAGTAGCAAGTTATACTGTTGGATTGTAATAAAACCATTTCACGAATGCCTTCCAAGCAACTTTTTCTTTGAAATGGTAAATCATGTCACAAAATGTCACTAAGGAATTGTTTAAACCCAATCTTTTTTCATAAAAATGTGTTTTTTTATTAAAAGCAATAAAATATTGTTTAAATATATAGTAACAAGTTATACTGGTAATTTAAGGGCCTACTTAATGGAATATAATTAATGGAGTCGAATACAATTTTACAATTTCACATATGTGATATTCGAGTGATCTGGCCTTCCTTGAAATTAATAAACGATTAAATCTTTTGGGAACCAACGCCCATTCATTTGATTGTGTGAAAATTCAAAAATTCCGCCTTGAGAAGCAGCTATTGGAAGTTGTCTTTGCCACTGGCGTGAGACAAATGTCGGGGGACTCAGATGATAAATAAAGTCCGCATATCATCCTGGACAATACAAAAGCAATATGAGATGTATTCACCCAATTTCGTTTAAGGTTATGAAGGACTGGTAGAAGAAGACTTTTCCCACAATGATATGAGTTGAGCTGACGTTTCCATTCAATATTCACATGGCTCAACTGATAAGATTGTGGGAAAATTCTTCTTCTACCT